ACTTAAAAAAAAAAAAGACATGAGCTGAGATCAAGAACTGGATGCTTAACCGACTAAGCCACCTGGACTCCTCAGGCCACTGCTGACCTTCTGACAATAAATCAGGAGGACCATCTATGTATGGACCTCGGTTGACTGCAGGCAACTGAAACTGAAGAAAGCCAAATCACGGAATGGTGGTGGGGGGAGACTACTGTAATTTAGGGACATACTTAATATTGAGTAGTTAAACCAAAAGATCTATTTCATATGCTGCATAAGAAAATTACTTCTGACGTACCTGGGTAGAAGCTCTCGTTTGCTACCCAAGCCTCACCATCGATGTTCCGCAAGTACTTGGAAGGGGTTTTAGGGAATCTCTGAAATGACTTCTGCATGTACTTCTCCCGTATGCACAGTGCCCTGTACAGACCTTTGCAAACCATTTCAAAGTCTTCAACTGTCACCTGCCAAGAAAGTGTTAGAGCATCAGAGTCACTCCTGTGAAAATCCAAGAAGTGGATTGTCTTGGGTATGCCCCTGCTCTCTCCCGGGTGTTGTAGCCCGTGCTGAGCCCACCTGCCCATGTGGCTGCTCCCTTACGTGACTTGGGCCCTGGGTCTTCCTCCAGGAGCAGGTCCTGAAGTTTCTTGCCCTCTTTCATTTCTACTAAAACTCACCTGGTCTACAAGTCTTTCCTGACAGTCTTGTGTTTGTTTGGTGTTTGCTAGAAAGCAGTGATTATCTAGTGAGTGTGATTAAAAGAACCCATTCTAACATGGAAAATACCTTCTTCCTTCCAGGTTTTACATACGGGCTTCTGAAGACGGTATCTCAACTGAAAGACCATGTGACTCTAATTTGAGAATTCAAACCACTTTCTGGTCAGTGGGGGAAATATGTGGGGATGAATAAGGTGTCACACATCCCTCAAACCCTATCATGCATGCCCTGCCTTCTGTCGTTATGGATGGATCAGAACATCATCTTATGATAAGTTATCATTCCTTTGGATGGTTTTAAAGAGAACTTAATCTGTGGCTAAAAATGGAGAGATTCTAGAATAAAATTTTCTCAGAACTGCCGGAAATTTCCTAAGCTGGTCTGTCTCCCATGCCCCATCCCTGACTCCGGGCTGGGGACGGCATGCCCAAAGAGTTATAACTTGAAATCACTGAATGATCGTCATCAAAGCCCAAAGACTTTCTGGGACCAATGTAAGCTTGTTCCGAATGTTTGAGGCCCGGATGTTGATCCTAACCAGTTGAACTCTTTTTAAAGGCTTGCTGACCTTGGCTGAGAGATTCTGGCACAGGTGCTGGAACTAGAGGTCTGCTTCTAATGGCATGCTTGTTCCTTTGCCACCTAATGGGCCACCGGTCTATCTTCTCCAGGATAAGAGCTGGATCTTATTCACCGTGGTGTCCTCAGCATTTGGCACACAATGCATAGCACACACTAGGTGCTCAATAAGAATTGATTACATGGAGTCAACTGATTATCAGGGATTGATGGCCTTGGAAACTTAGTCCTGATCCCCCTTACCTCTCTGTTCAGTTACAAGGTGAGAATGGATGGGGGCACAGAATACAACCAGCTGATTATTGCTCAGCAGCTCAGCCACATTCAGCCAACACGCTTGGTTCTTCAAAGACTCCATGTCATGGTTTCAGGTGCCCTCCAGCTTTCAGAGGAGAAACAGCTACTCCCTGACTTCTGTGAACCTTTTCCTTCCTCCCATCCTCTTTCTTTTCGTTTGTGTTTGTTTCTACCAAGCACAAGCAGTATCAACTTTGCCTCTTAGTTTTTATGTTTTTTTGAACTCCTGCGTTCTCCAAACGGCAGCTCTATTGAACATCTCCTTTCAGTCATTTATGATCTAAAATGCCTGCCATTTGCAGTCATGTCATCACACAGAAAGTGAATAAACAAGAATTGTGTTTGTTTCCTTGCTCTGTCCCTTTTTAAATATCTTGGGACTGACCCTAAGTGGGTCAGTTACATGAGAAGGGGGCTTAGGATTGGTCATTAAAACTATATTTGGAGCATAGACTGATAGCTACACATCAGTTTCACCAATATGATGCTGATTCTGCAAGTTCATGTGACAGAGATTTATTAATTGCCCAACTGTCCTGGACAGGACAGGAAGGTCAAGTTGTTTGTGACAGGAGTTTACTATCCCTGTGGCATAACTAGAGTCTATTCCAGGCAATAATCTACCGTGTAAGCATCTGCAATGAAATTGGAGATGACCGTTGGTCAAAAAAAAAAACAATAGCCCCGTTAGAATCTCCTAGGCTCTCTCTCATCTTTCTTCTTTTCTCTGGTCTCTCCACTCTTCTTTTCTCATCTCCCTCTCTTTCTTCCAAGCTGTTTTCTTGGATTGGTTTATGCTCCCTGAAGTCCTTGTCTCTATTCTAGGGCTGCCCGGGATCCATCTTTTCCCAAGAGCCCCCTGTGCCTCCTCGAGGCTCCCTGTCTTGTCTTGCGATATCCTCAGTGAGATTAGCCCACCAGGTGCTCTCTTGTTTCTTGTGCCAAAATTTGTCTAGTGTATTCTGTAACACACACACTGCATTCCACTACATACTGTCCATGTGCAAGCAAATGGAATAGAGAAGGATAGATCATGTGGGATGATAAAACAAAATAGAAATATAAGTCATGGCAAATCAGTATTGAAATGCAATAATGAAGTACAGCAAAGGACAAGTGAACTAACACCTTCCTCAGAAGGAAAGGCAAGAAGGTAAGGAAGCTGAAACAATCAAGCTGTGTCTTCTCAGCAGCGACATTTGAAGGGAAAAAGAGCAACTCACCCCTGAGGCATAATCGCCAGTGATCTGCACTCTCTGAAAATCAGGCACGGTCTGGTAGGTTGGAGATGAAGAAATGTATTCGTCGATATGGGACAGTTTAGTGGAAGATGCTTCACTTTGTGGAATGGACAAATTAACAGTCTTCCGTCCATGGAAACGCTTTTTTCTGGGTTTGAAACACAAAAATAAAAGAACTTAACTTGGTCCTCATTGGGACTCATTGGGAGTTGCGTTGTGATAGATTGGTGTTTCACTATCCAATTTCATTTTGAGGACAAAAAGTGCAAATTAAAATGTCAGCTGTCTGTCAGAAACAGGATCCAACCATATGGGAAGAGGTATCACATGACTGTATTCCCTTCTTCCCGGTATCCTTTGGGACCGTTGGCCTTTGGGAACATACAAGAAGGCTTTCAGCATGACCTTATTCTTCACGGGCAGTCCACTCCTAGCAGATGGGCAGTCTGGGAACCACAACAAGCACAGGCTATGTCAGTTATTACCTGTGTTGTTTTCTGCTTGTTCTGAAACTCTGTGAGCTTCTGTTGCCCCCTATGAAAAAAAATAGTGTAATAATGCCTACCTTAAAGGAATTCTGTGAGATTTAGTGTACAGAGTTTATAAGTTGCTTAGTCAATATTACTTCCTTAGATCAACAAGTATTTATTGAGTTTCTGCTTTGACCCAAGACTTACGTTAGGTCCTATGGGGCATGCTGAACAAGGAGGATCACTGTTCTTTCCTTAAAGACAAAATAAAGAGGATGGCCAGGGCAGGAAGGCAGAAATGGAGTGTTGTATCCCTGGGGCCTGGAGGAGGTCAGACTGGCCTGAGGGCTATATTCATATCAGATAGCACAATGCGAAGGTTGGCTAAAAATGAACTCTGAAGATGAGGCTCTTGAGTTCTGGTTTCCGTACCCATTCTGTGTAAGTTGAGTGTGTGCCCAGCAGCCATCAGCCTACCTTGGTTTGGAACAATTGCACAGGAGCTCATGTCCTCTTGCTTGGGCAGATAGGGAGGCTTCAACTAAAGGAAGATGTGCATGAGCACAGGATGTCTACTCTTCTCTTCTTTTTAGTCATTGCTAACCTTGCCCTAGCTTACACAGTGCGGGGGTGGGGGGTATAGGTGAAAGGGAAGAATTTTTAGCTCTGGCAGAGTTCTTCCTCCAAGTTGAACCATCATTCAGACAGACTGAACCAGCTGCCCTGACAATTCTCCTTCCTGTGTCCCAATGTCCCAACATTCCCTTACACCACTTACCTCCTGCCTTCTGTGGAGGTGGACATGGCCTCCAGGTGGAATATGTGTGCTCGCATCTCATGATGAGAAATTGGACAGATTTCATCCACATCAAAGGGGGAAATCTCCTGACGGCCTCCCTCGTCTTTGACTTCAGAGGCAAATACTTTTTCAGCCAAGCTACGTATTTCATCATCAATTTCTAAAAGAGGTTTTCATGGATTAGTATTCAAGCCCTTTCTCAGAAGTCATCAGAGAGTTCCTGCTATGTGTGAGGCACAGTGCTAAGGACTGCCCTGGGTGCCTGGCTCCCCTATACTCTAACCAGTGCCCCAGAAGCATGTCAAAGCTCAGTGCCGCTCTACTGTCTCTTTAGAGGTTTCTGTGTGGGTAGCTTGGAAATCCATTCTCAGAAACACAGGTCAGATTCTTGCAGCACATTTCAGGAGGTCCTAAAGGTGGGATTGGTCTCTTGCAAGATTAGCACTTAATGTAAGATCACCTGTTTCTGGCAGGGCTAAGTCTGATTTCATAGTAACCATGCAGCATAATCTTTCTCATTAGACTGGTGGAGTTTTTCCGATGGCTGTGAAGGTGTGAATAGGATTGTTGGTCTTTGGAGCTTTTCTTTCTAGAAAGATTGTAGTGATCTAGGTAGTTTTGAGAAATAAACATGTACTTTGGGCCTTTCTTCTTCATAGGACAGATACTGTGTTTCTCTCATACATTATTTCAAATCCTGACAACTTGATGATATGCTGGTATGTGGGAGAAGGGGGCCATTGAAAGTTACTACCCAGTGTTGGGAGTCCCACTTCTTGTGGACATGTGGCTTTTCATAACGAATGGCCCTTGGAAAGCCAATTTTACTTTTACATGCCTTAATATTCCCATCCTTTGTTTTTAAGTTTATTTTAAGTAATCTCTACACCCAACGTGGGGCTTAAACTCACAACCCCAAGATCAAGAGTCACATACTCTTCCGACTGAGGCACCCTTAATATTCCCATTCTTAGAATGGGTGGAGGGGTGACGTTTAGTTTGGCAATGAATAACCCCAAGACTCTCCGGATGTAAGGGAACTAATTTCATCATACAGCGTAGTAATGGCCATCAAGTATCTGCTCTTCTGGTAAGTTCCACTGCATTTTCCACATACCCAATTGTTTTCATCTGAATAGTCATTACTTCTAATACTTCTAAAATCTCTTCATATTTCCAGAAAAGAGCAGGTAGCAAATAATGAGAATGGCAAAGAGTTAGCTATTTGGAGCAACAGAAGACAGAACACTCTTCAAATGATGACAGAGCAAACTGCATGCAAAGAGAAAGATCCCCTCATTGCCGCCCCATCAGTGTCCTTACAGATCTCCAAAATGCCACATTTTCGATTTTGACTTGAGTAAGTTCATGTGTTCAAATCCTTGTTCTGCACTTACCGACACCTCCACCTTCCTCTGTCTTAGTTTCCTCATCTGTAAAGTGGGAATACTAGTACCTACCGAACCTCACTCATGAGGCTGTTGTGGTAATAATGTACAGGGAAATACTTTACAGACAACAAAGCACCAGATCAAACTGAATGATGCAATTTGGTAGCATTGGTCAGACAGATATCTGGTATTTGGGGTTAGTTTGGGGCTATTAAGGAAATGATAAATGATATGACTTAGTATAGGCTGAAGCGTACATTGGAAATGATAGTAATTAAATCATAACTTCATCACCACTGTCAGGTCAGCCTATTTTCAAAACCTGGCTTATCACAAAAGAATAACAGAAACCCACTGTATTGCTGAACTTCATGCATCTGTCTGCCTCATTAAACTCAAGCACTTCCTGAAACTGAAGACCGTCTTTGGATGCTATGGAGTAGTTCTTTGACAAGTACCACACTCCACAAAGGACCAAATGGGACTCTAAATAGATATGTTTGATGGCCTGAGAATGCCTCCCCACCCCACTACCAACTGATCCCCAGAGATTAGTGTCATTCCTCCAGGAATGCAAGCAAGCACATGCACCTCAAGGATGAATGGCAAGCAGAAGTTAGAAGAGGCTTCATGCACCATGAAACGCAAATGAAAAGGGGCTAGTTGGTTATGATGATGATGAGGACAAGGATGCAACTGGCTTGTCATGATGGGTCTGTGACAATGCTGCCGGAGGCCTCAGGAAGGACGGCATGGAAATGGATGCTCAGAAACCAAATCCTACTTGCTTGAGATCTGGCTTGTCCAGAACAAACAGTCATTACCTAGGACTGCACGTATCCATTTGTTTCATAGTTTTAAATGTTATTGTTTTTACTGAGTTCCATCTCCCTAAGCCACTAGAGATGATTGAAAAGTTAGAAACTCTACTCTAAGATGTGGTTTGCATGATGCCCCCAAATTACATGGTTGATATTTCCTTCCACTGAATCAACCAGTTGTTTTGACTTCATGCAGCCACAGCTGAAATTTGACTCCTCATTCAAGAGCTCTGCCTTTCAAAAATATTTCAGGGAGTGGCGATGATTGTGGGAAAGAAAGAGTGAAACTGGTATTTCAAAAGATGAGTGGATAAGATTTGGTGACACTTCTGAATTCAGGGAGTAAAGGGGAGATGAGTCCCTTGTGTTTGTATAGCTGATTGTTGGGTTCTTTTTTCAGCATATTACATTTGAGATAATGGAGCACCTGAGTGGAAATGTCTGGATGACAGGACATCTTCATTTACATGTGGAGTAGACACGAGAATAGAAACAAGTGGTAAAAAGATGAAGGAGAGTGAACACTGAACTAGGAGTGAGGAAAAGTGTCTGTGACAGCTGGGTGGCCTTGGAGAAACCACATAATCACAAGGAGCCTCAGTGTTCATCATCATAACAAGAGAATGCTAATAATAATAATGTCAACTTCAGAGCATTGCCATAAAGGTTAAACAAGAAATCCTTTAAAAATGACACAGGGCTATATAGAAGTTGGGGATTATTACTATTAACATGGGAAGTGCAAGGCTCTTGAGAAGGGGAATGTCATGCTGGCTTCTTCACTCAACGTTGAGACCCAGAAGAGCATGCTTATTTCCCAGCAGTGCTTTATTGATGGGTAGAAAAGACAGGTCGTAGGTGTTTCATCTGCCACATCTCATCCCCTCTATGCCTCTCCGAGGCAGACCTACTTACTATCAGTCAGCCTAAGGACAAGTCTAATTTGAAACATAACTTAAGGTTCCAGTTTTATCTGAAGTGAGATTTTATTTGACCTGGTCACAGAAATTTACCATGAAATGTTTTGCTTTGGAGTTGAGGATTTCCTAAGGCAAGACTCAATAGGCCCCGCTGGCTAACCTATATCTAAAGAATACTATTTTATTTTAAAACATCAGATGAACGCCCCTCTGATGTTCTGTTTAAAAAATGGATTTGGTTGGTTTTTTTTTTTTTGGCGGGGGGTGTCCAGAAAATCCATGAGTTCATTTGCTATGCTATGGGATATCTATGGTTATTATTAATCTTTGTTGGCTTTCAATGGTATCATTTAATAAACACTGCTGGAAAATACTCATGTTTCTGAATTAATGAGTAGTACTATTTTTCATTGATACTTTGGCAAATGGCAGGAAAAATTGTCCAAAATACTCACGTTTTTCTTTAGCTGTTTGAAGTAA